CAGATTCAGCTGCTGTTGAAACTGACCAGCAGTGGCTGAATCGGACATGCCTGGGGCAGAGCAGCTGGGGTGCTGCTGGGTTGGTCCAGTAGCGCCGCACGTCGGCACTGCAGGGACCCACCTGGCAGCACCCCAACTGCTCTACCCCAGGTGTCCCCAAGTCAGCTGCTGCTGAAACTGATTAGTCCGCGTCTCCCTGGTCTTCTGGGGGGGGGCGCTAGCTCCGCGTCTCCCTGGTCTGCTGGGGGGAAGCGCCCCCCGCGCCGCTGGAGGCGGCGACAGTGGGGGAGGCACCCCGCACTAGCGGGCCCCACCCTGGTTCATAACTAGGGGTCCGACGTAAGGGACTGCCTGTATTACGTTAGTAGATGTGCAGGAGAATGAACCAGTGACAGTATGGCTGATCTGGTTAGGTCCTGTGATGGTGTTGCTGGTGTATATATGTGGGCAGAGTTGGCACCAAGGTTTGTTGCATGGATTGATTCCTGAGTTAGAGTTATTATGGTGTGGTGTGTAGTTACTGGTGAGAATACGCTTCAGGTTGGCGGGTTGTCTGTGGGCAAGGACTGGCCTGCCTCCCAAGGCCTGAGAAAGCGAGGGATCATTGTCCAGGATGGGTTGTAGATCACTAATGATGCGTTGGAGAGGTTTTAGCTGAGGGCTGTAGGTGATGGCCAGTGGTGTTTTGTTGCTTTCTTTCTTGGGCTTGTCCCGTAGCAGGAGGCTTCTGAGTACACATCTGGCTCTGTCAATCTGTCTCCTCAGATTTTTTTTTTTGCTAACTACAAAAGCAACTTCTCCTCTCTTGGAATTCACACCTCCAGATCAGCTACTAGAAGTGGGCCTCATCCTCCCTGATTGGATCCACCTCGTCATCTCCAGCCTGATTCTGGCCTGCATATTTTTACCTGATTCTGGAAATTTCCACTACATGCATCTGACGAAGTGGGTCTTTGCCCACGAAAGCTTATGCTCCAATACTTCAGTTAGTCTATAAGGTGCCACAGGACTCCTCGCCACTTTTGCAGATTCAGACTAACACAGCTACCTCTCTGATACTTGACTTGACTATTCAGTTACCCAATATCTAACATCTCTAGCCTACAGACTCTGCAGCAGCTGACTCTGTGGCAGCCTCAAATAGAGCTGAGCATTAGCACGAGGGTTGCCAGATGGTTTCAACAAAAATACTGGACACACTTGACATTACATCACAATCTACATTACATCTTATTTAGAAAATACTGGACATTTATATTTTCTCAATTTGTTTCCCAAACAGAAAGTTCAAATACTGGACTGTCCAGTTCAAAACCGGGCGCCTGGCAATCCTAATTAGCATTTTGGAGCAGGTGTGAAAAACAACTTTCTCCACAAATGTATTCATATCCACCAACCACTCAGCACAGATCCAGGTGGAGGATTTTTAGATAGATTTTTCAAGTGATTTTGTGGTTTACACCTCACACTTACTTGTTTGCGGGTTCTTTCCTTCCCCACTCAAGCTTCCTTCTGCAGAAGAAGAATCCAATTGCTTGCTCCTTTCAACCCTCACTATTGGTTGACATTGATTTCTTTTGGTAATTTCAGGAAAAGAACTAGAAACTTAGCTTAAAAACAAAAATGACTGAGGTTTGTCTTCACAGGGCCCCAGGTTTGAACAAGGGACCCCTGCATCTTATCAGTGCCATTAAAAGCTACCAGTCGTGTGGCCCTGTCTCCATTTATAATAGCTCAAACTTCTACTAAAACTCCTTAGAAGGACCAGTTCTCCCACAAATTAATACTAGCTGGGAATTAACCAGAAATGACACAGCAGGAGACTTTTTTCATAACCCTAATGATCTAGAACAAAATTATCAGTAAAACTTCAACAGCCAAACATACAATTTTCCTGAAGCAGGATCATATGGACAAGATAATACAGGACAGAGAAAAGAACACACAATTGTTTAAGTGATACTCCTAAATAGAGGATAGTTGGACCCTCAAAAGCAAGTACCACCACAAGGTATGAATCAGCTAGAATATAGACTATAATCCATCAATATTCACTGTTCCTGTATTCTGGCCAAACGAAGCCAAATAAGCTCCACTGAGGCATGATATTGCCTTTTAATATCATTGTGGTTAATGAACAGTTGATACAGTAGCTTATTTCTGAGTCACATTATCCTTTTAACACCACAAGAGGAAACTGTTGCTTCTCACAATGGATTCAAAAAGTAGCATCATTCTCTAGATCAAAATTCAACCCCCTACACCTGCCTAAAATAATATTTACCAGAAATAACTAAGTACTCTTGAAGACTATTCAAAATACCTTATAGATTCATTTAATCTTCATGGCCCTACAGCAGCCACACTGCTCACACTGAGAGAATGAATCGCTGCAGAAAATATACTAGGTTTGAACAATGACAACTGAGGTGAATTTGGCTTTGGCCTTTGAGAGGCAGCAAGAGAGAGAGCAGGCATATATAAGAAAGTTTTTACACTGAAATGTCTCTAATGGTTGCTGTCACACCATGGTAAGCAACAGTTCAGGTCCCCCCCAGTGCCTGATCCATAGAGGTTGAAAGTCTTCCTAGCTAGAGTGTTTGGCTCTTTAGCTCAACCTAACTCTGGAAGTCCCCAGTTCAATCCCCATTGTGTTATCCAAGAGGGTGGCCATAACAAACACTAATCTAAGCAGTCCATTGGGTATTTAGTACCAAAGTTTATAACTCTTTTCAGAGCATGTGTAGAAGACAACGGTAAAAGTCGTCTACATAAACACTGTCCATTGGTGCAATGCTACCACAAGCAAAACTGCCCTGATACAGCAGTGGTAGAAAAATTACAAAAGGTCCTCTTTGGGTCAAAAAAAAAAAAAAAAAAAAGGACTGAGCGCCACAGATGAGGAAAGAAAACTTAAAAACTTCCTGAAACAAGAGAAACAGGTTTAAAGGGAAACAAAAATACAGATGCAAGCTAGGGATCCCGTATCAGAAATGTTGTAAGACCAACTAAAATAAATTTACCCATAATACAGATATTAAAAAAAAATCCATCCCACTGAGCCAGAAAGATATATCGAAAAGAGAAAAGAATAATTTCTCCAAATTCCCAAAGGCAACATAAATGATTATTTCTGTTGCAGCAAACGTACAATAAGGTAAAACCCACTCTTCCCTATATATCATTATATCACATCTACTATCTAGCATTATTGTAGTGGAATTAGGTTGTCTGATCCCCTTTCTAAAACTAAGCACGGATCAGTGAACACCTGGGGTAAAGGCACATGGCATGAGGCAAGTGTGCCCAGAACAGGTTTGTGGTATAACTCAAGCACTGTATAAAACATCTCTCTACTGGTGGGCCCCATTTGCCAGCAGAAGGATCAGTCTTGTGGTGTAGTGAAGGAGATTCCAAATCCTATTTTTGGACTCTTGTTTTGGCCTACAGGGGGTCTGATTTACTCATCATTGCTGGAATTAAAATGTGCTAGATAATCTTAATCTTTGCATCAAGTTTAATAAAGTTGTAATCAGAGACTTCTACAGTGAAACTTGTGTAACAATAAAACCCAGACAAACGACGACAGAAATGGAGTGACAAGGTATTTTAACTTGAAATTTTCAAGGTAAAGAGTTTTTAGGGATTTGTTTGTTTTACATTCAAGGAGATAACATGAGATATCTTGCATCGCAAGATCCACAAAATTAGATTGCTTTAAATAGCTTAAAATTTGCACAACAAGCCTTTCACAATTAAATTCTCTCTTTCATTGTCTAATTTTCGGACATGACCTGAACTCCCCTTTCCTTTCATTCACCCATTCTTCTCTTAGTTCAGTTATACTGATCAGTACTGTGTGCCTGCATTTGTTTTATTTCTCTCTCTATATAAAAAAGGTTTTCCTGCCAAAAGACAGAAAAACA